CTTGCAGTTGTTTTTTTTTTTTACCATTCGCCGGTCTTTTTCCTCTGCTGATGTGCACTGCGCAAATACACAAGTGCGCTTGTCAGCGACTCAGTCGCTGAGTCGTCTATGGCAGTGTGAGAATCGTTTTATGGTCACACAACGGCTCAGTCCCGGTGGCTATGGCTGCCATTGTGTGCATGCGATGCCATGCATCTTTTTATTTTATTTTTTGTTTCCAAATTCTCATCGGCTTGTGCGTTGTGTGTTTTTCTTTTCTCCCCCCCCCCCCCTTTTTTTTTCCGACTCTTTTTCTTTTTGTGTGAAATTTGTACCAGATCAAGCTTGGGACGATGGATCAGGTAGAATCACAGAACGAGTGGGTGTTGCGGCCATACATGAATACAGCGAAGAAGCGGACGGCGCTATAGCCCCCAAGGGCCCAAGGCCTTGCAGAAATGATTTTCCCGTCACAGTCACATCGACACGCCGAGAGAACAGAAAGGGCCGTCATTGCCATCGTTCTGCGACTGGGAGGAGGAAATTTTGGTCACTCGTTCGGCTGCGGGCCTATAGGATCGAAGAGAGCGTTGAGTCCTGAGCAGTACAGTTAGGTAAACCAACTACACTACCTACTTCTCACAGACTCCCGGAATTCTCCGACGAGAAAAGAAAGGACATCGCAGTGACTGGGTAGAAGAGAACGTTTTTTTCTGATTTGGCTGGCTGTAAGCGACAAGAGCAGTGCACCGTTTCACGGCAGCCCCAGTTTGTACCCCTGCTTTTTTCCATTTAAAGGGGTGGAGGGGTCCTTGCAAAAAGGGGGGGGTGCAGGGGCGTCACCCACGATTACAGGGACCGTGATCTCTTCCAAATAGGCTTTTACAGCGGCGGCCCTGCTGTCAAGTAGATGGGTTCAAATCTCAAACTCATTTTTGGGGGGTGAAGTTAGGGAAATGCAGATCTGCTCCGGGGGTTTTGCCGGGTCGAGCATGCAATTTTTTCAGCATGCTGTTTTGAAGAAGAGTGTATTCCACGGTTCCACCCCTGAGCGTGTTCATCTGTTCTACATGCGGTTTCGAGTTCCTCAACTGTCATTTGCGGGCTTGTGCCTAGAGTGTACAGTACTATTGATGCGGAGCAAGCATTTTTTTTCTTCCATTACCTTCTTCAAGCCTCTGGTGTGATATGCCGCCGCCCCCCCC